AGTATTATGCTAACAGTATAATCAATCACCAGAGACTGTAAGTACTGGGAAGCTCTATTACAACCCAAAGGTAGCCTCAAGTTGCATAAACATATTTCATTATCATATTTAGGCAAAACTTTAAAATCCTATTTCAAGGTATAAACATGTGTATGTCACTTTCTGCAGAAGATATGACAAGTACAGAAGGTTTCCATGACTTGTTCCACACCCTGCCTCAGATCAGTGGCCAACATAGGCTTGAAATGATCACATACAACCCCCTTTGGTTCCATGGGTCATATCCATCTACTTACTCAGAGTCTCAGACTTGAGCAGAAAACACTGCCCCCTAATACATTAATAAGTGGAACAATCATAAAAAGTTATATCCAGTTTCAAAGTTTAGATGGAATTTATTTATGTGTATATTAAATAAGAATGCAAGAGAAGTTAAACAATCTTTCTTCCCAAAAAATATGTTGATAAGGAACTCTCTTCATTGCTGGTGGACATGAAAATTACTATGCATTGGAAACTATGTGGCAGCATATAGTAAAATGGAAAAAGCATGTTCCCTGTGACTAAGCAATTCAACTTTTTGATACACATCTAGAGAAACTCAAGTATGTACACAATTAGGATGTACAATATGTTTCTAATAATTTTTAAAAGGAAACAGCCTGAAAGTCCATCAATAGGAATATGCATACATAATTTATAGTAAATCTGTACAAGAATTACCACACCACAACTTAAATGAATGGCCTAGAGCATGTATAGCATGGTACCATTGTGAAAACATAAACTAACACTATATATTGGCTTTTGGATGAATGGGTAGGTAACAGAATTATAAAATTATGCAGAGAGCTCGCAATTATTGAAACTGAAAAAAGAAGAACAAATGAGGCCCAAAGTTAGCAGAAGGAGGGACATAATAAAGACCAGAGAAGAAATAAATAAAATTGAGAAGAATAAAACACTACACAAAAAATAAATGAAACCAAGAGCTGGTGCTTTGAGAAAATAAAAAAAAATAGATAAACCCCTAGCCAGACCTACTAAGAGAAAAAGAGAATCTATACACATAAACAGAATCACAAATGAAAAAGGAAAAATCACAAGGGACACCACAGAAATACAAAGAATTATTAGAGAATACTATGAAAATCTATATGCTAACAAACTGGATAACCTAGAAGAAATGCACAACTTTCTAGAAAAACACAACCTTCTAAGATTGACCAAGGAAGAAACAAGAAATCTAAACAGACCAATTACCAGCAATGAAATTGAATCAGTTATCAAAAAACTACCCAAGAACAAAACTCCCATACCAGATGGATTCACCGCTGAATTTTACCAGACATATAGAGAAGACGTAATAACCATTCTCCTTAAAGTTTTCCGAAAAATAGAAGAGGAGGGAATACTTCCAAACTCATTCTATGAAGCCAGCATCACTCTAATACCAAAACAAGGCAAAGACACCACACACAATAAAAATTACAGACCAATATCCCTGATAAACATAGATGCAAAAATACTCAACAAAATTATAGCAAACTGAATTCAAAAATACATCAAGAAGATCATACACCATGATCAAGTGGGATTCATCACAGGGATGCAAGGATGGTATAACATTCAAAAATCCATCATCATCCACCACATCAACAAAAACGACAAAAACCACAAGATCATCTCCATAGATGCAGAAAAAGCATTTGACAAAATTCAACATCCATTCATGATAAAAACTCTCAACAAAATAGGTATAGAGGGCAAGTACCTCAACATAATAAAGGTCATATATGACAAACCCACAGCCAGCATCATACTTAACAGCAAGAAGCTAAAAGCTTTTCCTTTAAGATCAGGAACAAGACAGGGATGCCCACTCTCCCCACTTTTATTCAACATAGTACTGGAGGTCCTAGCCACAGCAATCAGACAAAAAAAAAGAAATACAAGGCATCCAGACTGGTGAAGAAGTCGAACTGTCACTATTTGCAGATGACATGACATTGTACATAAAAAAAAAAAACCTAAAGGCTCCACTCTAAAACTACTTGAACTAATATCTGAATTCAGCAAACTTGCAGGATACAACATTAATACACAGAAATCTGTTGTATTCCTATACACTAAAGATGAACTAGCAGAAAGAGAAATTAGGAAAACAATTCCATTCACAATTGCATCAAAAAGAATAAAACACCTAGGAATAAACCTAACCAAGGAAGTGAAAGACCTATACCCTGAAAACTACAAGACACTCTTAAGAGAAATTAAAGAGGACACTAACAAATGGAAACTCATCCCATGCTTTTGGCTAGGAAGAATTAATATTGTCAAAATGGCCACCCTGCCTAAAGCAATCTACAGATTCAATGCAAACCCTATCAAAATGCCAACAGCATTCTTCAACAAACTGTAACAAATAGTTCTAAAATTCATATGGAACCACAAAAGACCCCAAATAGCCAAAGCAATCCTGAGAAGGAAGAATAAGGCAGGGGGGATCTTGCTTCCCAACTTCAAGCTCTACTACAAAGCCACAGTAATCAAGACAATTTGGTACTGGCACAAGAACAGAGCCACAGACCAGTGGAACAGAATAGAGACTCCAGACATTAACCCAAACATATATGGTCAATTAATATATGACAAAGGAGCCATGGATATACAATGGGGAAATAACAGCCTCTTCCACACCTGGTGTTGGCAAAACTGGACAGCTTCATGTAAGAGAATGAAACTGGATCACTGTCTAATCTTACACACAAAAGTAAATTTGAAATGGATCAAAGACCTGAATGTAAGTCATGAAACCATAAAACTCTTAGAAAAAAACATAGGCAAAAATCTCTTGGACATAAATATGAGCAACTTCTTCATGAACATATCTCCCTGTGCAAGGGAAACAAAAGCAAAAATGAACAAGTGGGACTATATCAAGCTGAAAAGCTTCTGTACAGCAAAGGACACCATCAATACATTAAAAAGGCATCCTACAGTATGGGAGAATATATTCATAAATGACATATCCGATAAAGTGTTGACATCCAAAATATATAAAGTGCTCACACACCTCAACAAACAAAAAGCAAATTCTACAATTAAAAAATGGGCAGAGGATCTAAATAGACACTTCTCCAAAGAAGAAATTCAGATGGCCAACAGCACATGAAAAGATGCTCCACATCCCTAATCATCAGAGAAATGCAAATTAAAACCACAATGAGATATCACCTCACACCAGTTAGGATGGCCAACATCCAAAAGACAAACAACAACAAATGTTGGCGAGGATGTGGAGAATGGAGAACCTTCCTACACTGCTGGTGGGAACATAAATTAGTTCAACCATTGTGGAAAGCAGTATGGAGGTTCCTCAAACAACTCAAAACAGAAATACCATTTGACCCAGGAATTCCACTCCTCGGAATTTACCCTAAGAATGCAGCAGCCCAGTTTGAAAAAGACAGATGCATCCCTATGTTTATTGCAGCACTATTTACAATAGCCAAGAAATGGAAGCAACCTAAGTGTCCATCAGTAGATGAATGGATAAAGAAGAGGTGGTACATATACACAATGGAATATTGTTCAGTCATAAGAAGAAAACAAATTCTACCATTTGCAACAACATGGATGGAGCTAGAGGGTATTATGCTCAGTGAAATAAGCCAGGCAGGGAAAGACAAGTACCAAATGATTTCACTCATATGTGGAGTATAAGAACAAAGAAAAACTGAAGGAGCAAAACAGCAGCAGAATCACAGAACCCAAGAATGGACTAACAGTTACCAAAGGGAAAGGGACTGGAAAGGTGGGTGAGAAGGGAGGGATAAGGGGGAGGGAAAAGAAAGGGGGCATTACTAGTAGTATGTATAAAGTGGGGGGAGGCACAGGGAAGGCTGTGCAACACAGAGCAGACAAGTAGTTATTCTACAGCATCTTACTATGCTGATGGACAGTGACTGTAATGGGGTATGCGGTGGGGACTTGATAATTGGGGGAGTCTAGTAACCATAATGTTGTTCATGTAATTGTAGATTAATGATACCAAAAAAAAATGATGAGTATAAATAAACACCAAATTCTGGTAGATGGCAATAGGTAGGAAGCCAGAAAAAGGATGGGGGTCCCAAGGGGTGCATAGGACACCCCTGCCTGTAACACTTGTTGGTTTGTCTTTGTTTTGTTTTGTTTTTAAGTGAGGTATGGGTACATGGATGTTTGAACACACTACTTATTGTGGGAAATAATTAATTTTAAAAAGAAAAAAGTAGAATACTTTATCAAATACCTCAAATCACTTTGCCCATTAGAGAAACAATTTGCTTGTTTTTCACACACACACATTTTGTGACTAATTTTACCCATCTCTAAGATATTTATTTGTTTATATCATCATAAGCATACAGGGAGAAAATATAAGGGGACTTGAAGTAAACTGTCAAAATTCAAGGAGAGATTCACCATCAGAGCTAAACAGACGTGGCTAAGGGCCACAGGACACCACCTGTCTGGTCAGGAATCTCAGGAACTGTCTGAACAGCCAGGTGATGATGTATTCAGCCATCCCCTCAGCTGCACCTGGCTGATGAGACAGGAAGAGCAGGGGTAGTGTTTGGGGACACAAGGACTACAGTGGAAAAGCACGACACTGCTAACAGGCATAGGAAATGACCCGAGTTAGCACAGGTCGGGATTCGAGCCCCTTTCCTGTTCCGCATGTAGAAATAACTTTTCAGTCCTTGAAAAGAAAGCATCAGACATGTAAATTACGAATACATGGCGAGGTGGGAGGAGGACTCCGGAGCGGGTGCCTGTGGGTTTGCGTGGTTTTATCTGAGGGGTGGAGCAGGGAAGTGTAGATCCTTGAGGAATCCCAGGCTTTCCAGGGCCTCCCCCCGCGAGTTCTGAGGTCAGACGTTGGAGCCCGGATTGGGGACACTGGACCCTAGAAGGTCGTCCGGGCCGCAGGCAAGAGCCGCCGAGCCACTCACCTGTCAGCGGTGGCCGGGTGAGCGGCGGGGTAGGGGCGATGGGCAGCGAGGGTCGCAGCCTCACCACCTACCGCCCGCTGAGGCTTGCCCCCAGCAGGTCTGGCCTTGGCCCGGCCTCGCCCTCCTGTGACGTCATCTCCCGCGAACCACTCAACCACCGCCCCTGCAGGCTTGCTGGGAGCTGATTGGCCGGGGGAGGAGAGGCGGGCGCTGGAGGAACAGAGGGAATCCGGCGGGCTGCGGTTGCCATGGACGCTCTTGCTCTTAGTAACCACGGCTCCCGGGGAGCCCGGCACCTCCCGGAGGTGAAAGGGGTGAAAGACAACCCAAAGGAGAGGCCACGGTGATTCCCCTGAACCTGACTCGGAACTCTTCCACCTAAGAAGACCTTGGAGGCCCATTCCTAGGCGCAGGATGCTGACAAGCTCCCACATTCACACCTGTCTTCTGTCCAGCATTCTTCCATGATGGGAATATCTAGTGATAATCCTCCCTCTAAGGAAAAGATTTGAGGCTTTCTCTCACTCTTCAGCAAATATTTCCGTAAACAGTAGTCTTTACTGTTTCATCCAGGCACTGGGCCACTTTTACATGCATCTCTGTTCATCCCTGCAGTCTCTTTACAACCGAGTGGAAAGAGTTTAAATTTTACATGAGGAAACTCAAGCTTGGAGATTTAATTGACTTGGGCAAGGTCACTCAAACGGCAAGTGGCAGAGCTAGTACTAAAACTCAGATTGGTCCAACTTCAAGGCATTCTGTCCAAGAGGCAGCAGTCTAAATGTGTGAACAGCAGGAGAATTCATAGAGTTACTGTTAATGCTAAAGAAAATCATTCTTGGTCACAGAGTTACTATTAATGCTAAAATCATTCTTGGTTTGTCTGGGTACCCCTGTATGATGACACTCCACCAAAGGGTTTTGCAGTGAGACCTGCCCATGGCCTCCTGCCCATCTCATGACTACCCTTACCCCGGTGCCCAAGGAGTCAAACCTCCATGTCTATACCTCTGACCCAGTGTTCAGACCAGCCCCTAACAGACTTTAGTGAAGTCACGACAGGTTGGGAGCCTCAGTTTTGCCAATTCAAAAATGTGGTTCTGTTTTCCAGGTTCCTTAGAGGCTAATTCAAGCCAGCTGAGCTCATAGGAACCTAAACTAGAAAAGCTGGAATGCTACCTCAGGTTTTACATTAATTGACATTGCACTGTGACAATGGAGACGAGCCCAGAATATTTTCCCCACATAGGAAAACCACAGACAACATTCAGTGATCAGAAACTACTCATTAGCCTGGCCACAGGACTAGACAAGCCAAGCCTGCTCCCAGACCCCACACAGGGACTGCCAACTCTGTCCTGTGCTCCTATTTCCCTTCCCAGCAACACTTTCTGCTTCAAGCCTGAGAAACATTTTGCCCTGAACTACCTTTTTTTAAATTATTTTTTCTCATGCACAGCATGTTGCTTTTTATATTAATTCTCAGAATTCTGGATGGACCTGTAGACTGTAAACACCATAAATGTTACCATGGGTCTGAAAGGCTACCAGGAAGTGCTACCAGCCAAAAGGCCAGCAAGTCCTAAAATAGATTTATTTGCTTGCAAACTCCTTAAACATGACACAGTCTTTGTGCTTTACACATATCAAAATGCCCAATATCAATCCTAATTGAATATCAAGTTCATTCAATGGCTGATTTAAAATTAAACAGGTGAAATGACAGCAGAATGTGGTCTTGTGAATAATAATGTTGAGTCAGTGAAATTTTAAAACCTCCTGATTAAAATGCCGGTTTACATTGGTCAACTCTGGTTTCCACAGAAAAACTGAATGATATTTAAAAAATAATTTAGTTACCCTCCCCAAAAAGATTGTTTGGATTATCAAGTCTTTGCCAAAATTAAGAGGTTAGTTGTCTCACCCTCCAGCTTTTTTTTTTTTTACTATGGACACCTCCTCCAATGCTTATTGGTCCCTGTTTCTAAAAAGAATAAAGAAAAGAAATCTGCATTCAGCTCTTTAATCTCGTTTTTCTGAGCAGCTGCACAAACTCAAAGAGTAGTCTGTTTCTGCTCATCACTGAATCTTCAGTATGTGGCTTAGCACCTGCTGCAAAGGAGGTGCTCTGTCAGTATTTGTTAAATGTGTGATGATTAGTGGGATAGGAGATTGTCAGATGTATGGAAGTGGAGAAGCAATAAAACAGATTTTGCCTGTCCAAAAATTTATCTAGGAGCACACTGCTTGATATTGTATTTAATTTCTAACTTCCTCACGTGCTACATTTTCATTTCCCTGCCCTAAGTCACTAGACCTCCTCTCCAGTCCCTCTGGGGCTTCCCATCACTCAACCCTCCACTCTTCATCAAGGATGCTATTATCCACTTACTTCCCAGCTATTCTTCCTCACCAGAAACCAAGTGTGGGTCTATCCATCTTCACCCCTCCATTCCCACCCACCTTTGCCATCCTTGCAGCTGACTCATGTCCACAGCCTGCTCCTCTAGCGCACCTCCCAAACTATAAAGTGTGCTACCAGTTAGAGTAGGTTGCTCACTACACATTAGTGCCATTCACAGTCAGTCTATGCTTTGATGCTCTGTTTCAAAAATGTTTACTCAGCTCTGTGCATCTCCCAAATTCACAAAGGACCATCTGTCCTAAAACTCCCATTTCATATCTAGATGCCCAAGACTCACACTGAGTGAAAAACTCAGCCCCCAACTATATAAAAACCAAGTCATCTCCTGCATCCCTTACTACCCCCATCCTTCTCTTTCTCATGCCCTTCTCCTTAGAAAAGGGAGACCTCATTAACATTCACTCAGATCCACATTGCATCCCAACCTCATAATATCCAAAGCATTTCTTTTACTCTCCAGCACCTTCCACTTCTCTTCCTCCCTGGAGACCTTCCCTCCCATCTCCCGACATATACCAACCTTTGCTGTTATTGAATTAAACCACTAAGCTTTCCTACATCAAGTTATTGACCTACACCCTCCTTCCTTTCCCTGTCAAATCCCTAAGTAAATGGCATATGCCCATGGCCTCCTGCCTATCTCATGACTACCCTTACCCCTGTGCCCAAGGAGTCAAGCCTCCATGTCTATACCTCTGACCCAGTGTTCAGCCTGGTTTGACACACTCTGTACAGGACAACCTGTGCCCGCCACTCTCCACTATGTCTTGCCTGGATGTAGGCTCTTCAGGCTGGGCAAACATCTCATCCATCAGTCCATCAAAATTATGTCCCGTAGTGTTTAGCACGATCTCCTTATATGCGGCAGGGACCCAATGTTCAAGCATGCTTCCTCATTCCCAGCTAGGAAAAAAGCACAGGCTAGAAATCTCTCATTCATTCATTCAAATGTTACATATAAGAGCCTGGTACCATGTGCCAGACCCTGGGGAGAAGAGAACAAAGCACACGTGCCCTGGCCCTAAAGGAGCCGCCAAGCTTAGAAAGGGAGAAAAATGCGTGAGTCTGTGAGCGAGGCCACCTGTTCCGGGTGCCATGGGTGACATCAGACAGGGCACAGTGAGGGCGCTATGGAACCAGCTTTGCTTTGCTTTGGAGAAACTGAAGCGTGAGTGAGGAAGGGCACTGCAGAGGCAGCCGAAACAAAGGCCCAGAGGCAGAGGGGCTGGGATGCAGGCTGGCCCCTCCACTGCCCTCTGACCTGGCCGCAGCCATTGTGCCTGCTGCTCTGTGGCCTGGTCCATGCCGGTCCTCACACTCAGGCTCTGTTCCCTCCTTGCCATCTGCCCCAGACCAGTGTCCCTCCTCTGTGCAGAAGCTCTCTGATTACTCCAGTTCCCACCGGTCATTCTCACCGGACCTTCAGTTATACTGAACACCCGGGTCTGGCTTTAGGTTTCTCGGATGCAGCCTTGCTCTCAGACCCCGGCTAAGATCCCAATAAGTAGGGAGTGTGTGTCAGTCTCACGAGTGTCCTACTGTCCAGAGCACAGCTGTCGTTTTCCATCAGCAGAGCCACCAGCTGCTCAGACAAAACTTCAGAGTCCTCGCTGAGGCCCCTTTCTACCTCATCCCTACTCCAGTGCATCACCAGCTCCTGACCACTCTATCTTCAAAAGACAGCTTAAATGTGTCCATTTCTCTCAGTCCCCAACTTCATCTTCCTAGCTGAAGCTGCCACACTTCTCTTCTGGATTCCTAACTGGGGGTCCAGTCTGTAAACTTTCTCCACTACCGCAGCCAGAGTGATCTTTCAAAAACGCAAATCCGATACCGTCACAGCTCCCCATTGTCCTTGAAATACCACCCATGCTCCCTAACGTGGCCAGTGTCCTGAATGACGGCATCCCTCCTACTCTGCTGACCACAGCCCGTGCCTCTCTCTTCCTCACTGTATGCAGCCACACAGGACTTTGTTCAGGGTTCCAATGCTCTGAGCTATGCCCCACCTCAGGGCCTCTGCACATGCTTTTCCCTCTGCCTGGACCACTTTTTTCCCCTCACAGGTCACTGTCCTAGAGGAGATCACCCAGACTCAGTTGGGTCACCCTGCTATACTCCCCGGCTCCTTTCCTTCATGGTATTTATCACAGTTCTCAGTTATTTATTTGTATAATTATTTATCTGAGTTCCCTTCCAGGCTGTGGGTGGTGGAGGGTTATGTAGGCACCAGGTCTGTTTTGCTCACCATGAAATATTCAGCAGATAACCTGGTACCTGGCACTGAAGGATGTATCCGCACCTCTGGATAGGTATACTCTGCCCCTGACAACTTCCAACACGCAACAAAAAAACCTCCCTTACAATGGAGCTCACAAATTTTACTGAAAGATTGAAAACCAGACTGTTTGTGGTGCCAAACCATGATGTGAAAGGTGAGAGGAAATCCCCTGGAATTTGTACAGGGCTCCAATGTTCATAAAACCCAAAGCTTCTGACCGTAACCCCATATGTGTTTATTTGATGTCGTGTGAATGGTCCTCTGCCAAGTGCTGTATGAGGGCAGGAGCTGGGGCCCTGGTGGTGGGACTGCTGCAGAGGAGACGCCTCAGCACTCACTTGGAAGCAGAGGTCCAGAAACACACCCAGCTGCCTTATCATCCTGCTCAGAATCCTTTACTGGTCCCTCAGGGT